CTTTTCATTTTTTTCTTCTCCTCCACCTCCTCCTTCTCTCTCGACAATTCTTCTCATTGCGCCTCCTCCTCACGTCCCTCCACCCTCCACATTAATCACATGGCAGGGAGAATAAAGCGGAGCATCTGTAATAGTTTCACAGCGTCACTGAAGGACGGGCAGAGGTCGGCTAGCATTGTGGCTAATGCATGGACTCCTTGTGAGTGTGTTTGTATTAACAGTAATAGATGACTTGGTGTGGATGCAAGGACAGAACAGGGACATCGGTTGCTAAAAATGGATCACTACCTAGTGGTGCAAAATGCATAAGTGTATATGCTCACATCAACAGATACACACAACCAAATGAACGCTACTCATTAAAGAATAACATACATGGACAAGACATTCATTTCTGATTAAGTTTTCGTGATCATTTTCATCCTTTTCTTTGGCAATTTATTGGATATTTAGCCTCTTTTCTTCGGAATGGTAGATCCAGAAGTCTAGCACAGGGGTGTTCAGCTGTCGTCTTTTATTGCTGGCTTGATTTGTTGTTGCTGCAGAGGTTTTGCGTCACTTAAGCTCCCTTGCTGCCAGCAGTTGCTGCTGATTTAGGCATTGGTCCTGCTAGCTTTCTGATCATAAAATGCTTTCTCATTTTTCCAGTCCAAAAGGAAAAGGTTTGATTAAATTCTGATCAGCTGCTGCAAGCTCTCCCCAAACTGACACAAAGGGAAATAATATAGTGCTGCAAATATTCAGACTCGAGACTAATATGACGTTATATTCTGTTTTATTTTACTTTACTTTTAAGCTTGTTGTTTAGAAGCTATTTCTGCTGTTTATTCAAGTGATAAATCTTCCCTCAAACCCCCAGTGTTTATGCCAAACTCTCTGAAATGGATAAGGAAGTCGATGTACCTTCTATAATGAAAAGGCGGGGTGACAATGCAGATAACTTTATCGGTATCTCACTGCCCTTGGGTGAAAATGTCCCGTGCATGGCGTCACCTTCAGTACAGCTCATGTCAGTCAATGGAATCAATTCAAACACCTCAACTCACATCCCCGCTACCCTTGTCTCCTGAGTTGAACATATTGTGACTTCTGGTAGGAAGACATACCAGTCTGACATCAGTGCTGTGTATAGTCTGATATGTGGTGAGTTGCTTATTTATTAATCCACTCCACAGCTCAACCTTTGCAAAGCTGTCTGCCACTTGTGCAGAGAAAAACAATACAGAAGGAAAAAAATGGAAAATAACAGGATTCCATTATTGGAAGACCATGCAGAGATTTAATATTGGCCTAAAAAAGTATAGGGTAGGGTCGTGTTTGGATGGCCCAATGAAACTGGAGGAACTATAAGAATCAAATAATTTTTTATTATTATCCTCAAACTATAGTTCAATTACGTTTTAATATCATTATAAAGCATATATTGTAACTATATTACATTGTAAGATGAGGCTTTAAAACTAAACCTAATTTACTTGTCTAACTATGGAAGAGAGGAAAGGACATGGATATCCCTTCTTTCTTTGTCACAGATCCATCCAAAATTAAAAAATGTATATAAATACCAGGCTGTATAATGGTAAGATTGATACTTAAATTTCCTATTTACTATTGTATGAAATGCTGTTGTTTCGTCTAAATAATAATTAGATTGCAGCCTCCATAAGTGGAGCTATGTCCCACTGCAAAGACAGAGAATTTACTGACTGTAGTTTGATCATTTTGTACACTTTATTTTTTAGAAAACTACAGAAAATAACTCTGCTAATGGTAATATTTGTTATATTCCTGCTTTGTATTTTACTAACTCTCTATACAGTAGAAGGTTTGTTTTCCAATTTTTTTTTATTCAAGAAAAACACAAATTTTTTCCTGTCATATCCATTTATCATATTAATATTATGTTATTAAAGTAGTTAAAGTAGTTGTCAAGGTTCTGTCCTGAAAACCGAATTATCCAAAACAAAAACCATGAATACCTCTAAAAGAGAAGGAGATGGCAATATGTTTATATGTGTTAATAATCTCTGAGCAATTACCTCTCATGAATGATTAGGTCTTTTGGCCACCGCTGGCATCTTGACTCTAGCATTAGAATCACACTTCTCTCTCAGTGTTTCAGGATGCTGTGTTCTATTAGTAATACTAGCTGACATCATTTTAAGTACAACTTGCCCGATTGCAACACATTCATTTAAACCTTGGTCCATCACTGATCTATGGTCAGTGCCTGCTTACTTCCTGTTAACTTCAGCCAAGCGTAACATCACCATATGATAACACCATCTCTGTAATTCACTCCAATGGATGGAAAAACATCTAAGTTATAGGTTCGCTCATTATTTGCATCACAATTGGATAGAAACACAGCTTCAGTGTGATTAGCAGCAGTGTCATATCCTTAGTCATGGTTTTGTTATCCCTTCCAGACTGAGATACTTCAAGGCTTGTTATCTATTACTAGATTTCTGTCTTGAGCTGTTATGTATTCATTTTAACATCTTCTAGCCTTCTTCATGTTGTCAAAATACATTCTACAGGTGCTGGTCATAAAATTAGAATATCATGAAAAAGTAGATTGATTTCAGTAATTCCATTTAAAAAGTGAAACTTGTATATTATATTCATACATTACATACAAACTCATATATTTCAGATGTTTATTTTGTTTAATTTTGATGATTACAAATGACAACAAATGAAAATCTCAAATTCATCATATCAGAAAATTAGAATATTACTGAAGACCAATAAAAACAAAGGATTTATAGAAATGTTGGCCAACTGAAAAGTATGAACATGAAAAGTATGAGCATGTACAGCACTCAGTATTTAGTTGGGCCTCCTTTGGCCTGTATTACTGCAGCAATGCGGCGTGGCATGGAGTCGATCAGTCTGTGGCACTGCTCAGGTGTTATGATAGCCCAGGTTGCTCTAATAGTGGCTTTTAGCTCTTCTGAATTGTTGGGTCTGGTGTATTGCATCTTCTTCTTCACAATACCCCATAGATTTTCTATGGGGTTAAGGTCAGGAGAGTTTGCTGGCCAATTAAGAACAGGGATACCATGGTCCTTCAACCAGGTACTGGTAGCTTTGGCACTGTGTGCAGGTGCCAAGTCCTGTTGGAAAATGAAATCTGCATCTCCAAAAAGTTGGTGGGCTGCAGGAAGCATGAAGTGCTCTAAAACTTCCTGGTATGTGGCTGCGTTGACCCTGGACCTCAGAAAACACAATGGACCAACACCAGCAGATGACATGGCACCCCAAACCATCACTGACTGTGGAAACTTTACACTGGACTTCAAGCAACGTGGATGAAGTGCCTCTCTTCTTTTCCTCCAGACTCTGGGACCTTGATTTCCAAAGGAAATGCAAAATTTACTTTCATCAGAGAACATGACTTTGGACCACTCACCAGCAGTCCAGTCCTGTTTCTCTTTAGCCCAGGCAAGACGCTTCTGACGCTGTCTGTGGTTCAAGAGTGGCTTGACACAAGGAATGCGACAGCAGAAACCCATGTCTTTCATACGTCTGTGTGTGGTGGTTCTTGAAGCACTCACTCCAGCTGCAGTCCACTCTTTGTGAATCTCCCCCACATTTTTGAAGGGGTTTTGTTTCACAATCCTCTCCAGGGTGCGGTTATCTCTCTTGCTTGTACACTTTTTTCGACCACATCTTTTCCTTCCCTTCGCCTCTCTATTAATGTGCTTGGACACTGAGCTCTGTGAACAGCCAGCCTCTTTAGCGATGACCTTTTGTGTCTTGCCCTCCTTGTGCAAGGTGTCGATGGTCGTCTTTTGGACAACTGTCAAGTCAGCAGTCTTCCCCATGATTGCGTAGCCTATAGAACTAGACTGAAAGACCATTTAAAGGCTTTTGCAGGTGGTTTGAGTTAATTAGCTGATTAGAGTGTGGCACCAGGGGCCATCAATTTTGAACCTTTTCACAATATTCTAATTTTCTGATATGATGAATTTGAGATTTTCATTTGTTGTCATTTGTAATCATCAAAATTAAACAAAATAAACATCTGAAATATATGAGTTTGTATGTAATGTATGAATATAATATACAAGTTTCACTTTTTAAATGGAATTACTGAAATCAATCTACTTTTTCATGATATTCTAATTTTATGAACAGCACCTGTATATGTGAGGCTAGAATCAAGACTCGGGGTGGTTAGTGAATTAAATTCAGTTTTTCAATAAATTTGGTTGATCAGAGTTAACTTAGAGGTCAAATTAATCTATACATAGGTTCCAGGGTGTTTTGGGTACATTTTCACTTCTTAAGGAATTAAGATTTATGTTTATTTAAAACTGGATTATGTTTTTATTGTATTTTTCTTTGTTATTCAACTTTGTCTGGTGATCTGAAACATGAAGGGCAAAAAATATCCCTGTCATAAAGCATTTTATTGGGCTAGCTAGGCAAATAATGATAAACTAACTTTTTATTCTACTCTCAGGGAACAGTAAGATTTTTAGTTTTTTCAATCCTGTTAAACAATTTGACTGATGAGATAAATGTAAGCAGACAACTCCATAAACATTTAATGTCAAACAAAATTCTAATTAAAGAGGAACGGATTTAAAACAATAGGAGAATCGAAGTAGGTATGGCGAACGTGACTTAGCAACAGGAACCAACTAAAGTGAGCATTGGTGAGATTTTAGCATTTAACTAATACAAATGTGAAATCACAACCATAACCTTGAACTTTAAATTCAAATATAAATGATCCTATATTCATAAAAAGCCCTGAACATATCTTGGACATTTGCTGGTGTTGAATGCTCGAGCAGAGATATTGAAAAATTAACGGTTATATTGCCTTTCATATTCTAAAGCAATTGTTTCTTTTTTCTTTTCATCAGTTTAAATTTAGTATTTGTTTAAAATGTCTCTGCAGTTCCCCTAAACTCAGAAAAAGCTCTCAACTGTAATGTTTTTGTTTTTCTGATTCCTAACAGCCTGAGTCTTGGCATGTGTTGCAGGAGGAGGACCCGGGCGATGGGCGTTTCAGCTTCCCCGGGTATGGCATGGGTCCTGCCTGCCTACAGGCCAAGGATGGCATGGCCATCAAGGGCAACAACAACAACGCTCCGACCTCGGCAGCGCCCGAGAAAAGCATCGAGGAGATGAAGAAGCTGTTCATCAGCCGGGCCAAGCGCATTGACACGGTGTCCCGCGTGGCCTTCCCGCTCGTCTTCCTCATTTTTAACATTTTCTACTGGATCACTTACAAGATCATCCGCAGTGAGGACATCCATAAGCAGTAGTTCAATAGAGGAAAAGGGCGACAGTGACATGAAGCAAAGGAAGCAGCAAAGCAAGTTAAAAATATGAGACAAAAGTGACTTCAAGGCAGATTATATTGCCCTCCTTTTCCATCCGTATCTCTTGTCCTCTCCTTTACTCTCCTTCACTTTGGTCGAGGATTTGCTGCTTTTTGCAGCCCCCTCAAAATCCAACCTGACCAAATCATTTAAAGATGCTTTTTCCTCTTTATCCCTGCTCCTGAATCCTAGACCCTTTTCCTTTATCTTCAATGTCCCTTAACAGTCCGGACCAGTGCAATAGCAATGCAGTAAAATGCATGATATATGAATGTGGCAATATGTCGAAGAAGAAACTTTAAAATCTAAACAAACTTTTCAAGGAACACAGAGGAAATGATTTGGGAGTGAAACGACTGGAACAAAAGGAGACAAAAGACCTTGTATTTAATTTTAGCTTTTTTTTTTTTGTGAAGACAAATATATAACTCTTTGTGGAAATATGATGTAGAGATGGGGTAGCAAAGGTGAAAGTGGCATACAGCAGTGTAATATAATTATTTACCGGAATCGGAAAAGTTATGGACCATGCCTCTAAGGGTGGACAGCTGGAACAAAGGATGTTTCATCCCCCCAAAAAATAAAAGAAAGATGGCGGTTCAGTGCTTCCACTAAATTAATTGATGCAAGGATCATGCATTCTATATATATATAGATTTGCTTCAAATATGTATTGCAAGCACTTGTCGAAGCTTTCCCTCCCTCCTGTCCTGCTGCCAATGCCACAAAAGCTATACAGAAACTTGAAGTTTGTCGCTGCTGGACTATAAAGAAAAAAAAATGAAGAAACTAAAAACATAATTGACACCCAGAGCTGATTAATACTTGTGATAAACATCTATCATTTCCTAATTACTTTCAGTCTGCATATTTGTGTTATTTGTTTGTTGTTGTTTTTTATTTATTTATTATTATCGATATTATTGATATACGTGCCAACTAAACTTGTCCCTTGTTGCTGTGCATATCTCGTCATTTCTGACCTTTTCCTCTGGAGGGAGGGTGAGCAGTTTGATGTCTTTTTAGGATTTTGTTTTGATCACTAAGGTTTGAGTTCAATGCCATCAGCGGAAGAAAGACCAGATCGATCCTTGACCGGAGTAAAAAAAAAATTGCAGAGTCTGATTCATTTTCCTTCGCTGTATTGGAGACTAAAACATCCTTGTGTTGATATCACAGGGCTTCCTTGCTTCAACCCTACCTCAAGGTGACACCAACATCCCCCCGCCTTTTTTAATCCCAAGCAAGAGGACAACATGTCTTAAATCATCCAGATTATAACACAGAACTTTACCTCCATCTCATCCACATGACCCAGCTGTAGCTCGACACTTAATGGAACTACATGGTCACAAATGCAGAATGCATTAACTTGATTTGTTTCACTGCAATGGGTTTAATCGGTCAGGCTGGTTTATGTGATTGATTGATTGATAATTTTGCTTTGCACCAGGCTTTTCTATGCAATGATCAGTATATGCAATTTTAATTTTAACTTCATTGCTCTTCCATCTGAAGTGGCTACACTTTATTGATAGTGAGAATGTTGAGGTAATGACCTCTTTAAGGCACTTTTGGCCAAAAAGCATGCAGATGACTGCATGAAAAACTAGTCTTTAAAAAGAAATAGAGCCAAATCTTGCTTGATATCATTTTTTTCCCCTGTTTAATGCACACAAGAATATCATATTTGTTAATTCATCTGCATAGTAAATGCAGAATATCCCTAAGTGCTTATTTGTTTTGAAAATGTTTTGAACGATGAAAATCCTGGAAAATTACCAGTTTTTTAAGCAAAGATGAAAATATAGAATTAATATTATAGATGTTATTGTTGTGATACGATTTAGAAAAGAGATTTATTTATATTAATGACATAAAATGTATTTTAGCACCTATCAAAAAACACTAAATTGTTAAAAAATGTATAAATTGAGGTTGAAAATTCCTGGCTTAACATCAGTAGCTAAGAGCAGTCTTTCCTGTGAAATCTACTTCACTCATTATTCATTAGGATTTTCAAAATAGGAAGAACACATACAATACATTGGAGGAACCCGTTTCAGGCACTTATTTTTGGAGTATGGAACTTAAAAAAAATCATGGTGTCCTGGGAATATTATAGTCTATTATAATGCTCCTCTTATGCGCAAATATAAATCTGCAAAATATGTTTCATTCCTTAGCAAACTTCGTCTAATAATTGCCTAAACAGCTTTTTACCTCTTAGAGTAAATTTTTTTGATATCCTTGAATATGTCTAGTGGAACAGTTTTTCTTTCAAATCAGAAATCTGTTTTATTCCATCATGAATATGTCCAAGGCTTTGTTACTGAAGATATGTCAGGCTGATCTGAAGGGCTAAGCCACCTATTTATTATTTCATTCTGATTCTAGACTCTATAGTAAAAAGATCCACATAAATGCATATCACCCCAAAAGATATGCCTTTCTTTCCAAACACATGTTGGTGAAGCTGTTTCTACTTTATCATCCAACAGCAACTTTTTCAACTGAGAAGTTTTACAGATCAAAAGTCAGTTTGGTCCATCTATCTTCTAACACTCACTCTAGGCCAAGTTATAGAGGCAATGCATTAAGCAGAAATCCCAAGACCCTTTTTCTTCCCTGCTACTTTCCCCAGCTTATCTGGGGATGCCCAGAGTCAAGAAAGTTAATCTTACCGGTGAGTTATGGGTCTCCCCCAAGCAATTATCCCACCAGATGCCAAAACCAGTTTAGTTGGTTGATTTTAATCTGTAGAAGTAATGATTTTAATCTTGGCTCCCACCAGTAGAACAAACATCTCACATTATCAATAAAGGCCGAAAATACATAAGATCCTGCTGTGACAGGCATTGATATGACCCAGCGCCCAGGGCACCAGTCCATCTGTGGGTGACAAAGGCACAGAGGCAAACAGTTATCTGTGGAGTTGGCTGAAAATGGGTTTCTGCTGCCAATTGTGATTGACGGCTGGAGGAGAATTAGAAAACATGGGATAACAATGTTGCTGGCTGAGACACACAAAATAGTATCTGAGCTGATGTTCACAATTAACACACTATTTAAATCGTTATCGTCTAACTGTGTTTTTTTAGGGATCATTGGCCGCCTTTAATCATCTCTACACTGCAAAAAATCTAAATCTAGATAAGTCATTTTTTTCTAAAAATAAGTGCATTTGTTCTTGAATTGAGGAGGTAAAAGAGACATTTTGCCAATGGAACAAGGCAATTTACACTTAAAATAAGAAAACACAATTGCATTGTCTTATTTCAAGTGCATATTATCTAATTATCTTATTTTAAGAGTAAAATTACTCATTCCATTGGCAAACTGTCTCATTTACCCACTCAAATTCAGAGTGAATACACTTAATATAAGAAAATTTTACTTATTTCTAGATCGTTTTTGCAGTGTAGATAAATACAGATAAATCTCTATTTTAGTGTTTAAACTTAAATTCAGTTTTTGTAACCAAAATAATAAGTTTTAACCCATTATTGACTGAAATATTTGTGTTTTTGGAATGGTTTTATTTAAGCTGTATGCAGCTTATTAGAATTAGTTTGCAAGTTCCCTAAATTACATACTATTGGTTAGAACCCCAACCGCCAGATGGTGGCAATGTACTAATAAAGATATTTTATGTATAGAATACATCTACACATAAAACACATACATGCACAGATAATGGTGGTGTGTCACTGCCACCTTCTGGTCTGAGGCAAATTCATAACAAGAGTCCAAAAGTGGGTTAATGTATTTTGACCTTTAGGACAACTGCTGGTATGCAAACAAGAGGCAACATATGGCGTCAGTGTGTTTTTCCTTTAATGGTAAATGAGCCATTCTACAGCTGAAGAAAGCTCAGCAGCTTTAGTCAATATCAGCAGCTTATGACGTTAGATGATTGTTTTATCAATAACTAAATCCAAATCTTTTACTTTTGACTTTTTACTAAGACACTGCCACTTTATTCCAACAGTCGATCTCCCACCTCATTAGGCTTTTATTTTTAAGGAGAAGCAAAAGACACTTAAAGTAGAAGTAGACGGTGGTAATTTCCCTTCTCTATAATGTGTTTGATGTTGGTGTGAAAATGTGAGCAGTGCCAGTGCCTGCTGTGGTCCACTTTTACCAAAGTAATTATTTTAACTTTAGTTTATCAGTTTCATGTTAACTGGAGGTTTTAACGAAGCCCAGAATGTTAATAAAAGTTGAAGTACAAAAGTATTTGTTGGTAGCTACTTCAATTGATGTAGCCTTTAGTGAGACGCTGTCCATCCAAATATCCCAAAAACAACTTCATATTGATTACTTTCTGCAAACTCAAATAACCTTTTTTTTTTTACTTTGCGCCTAGAAAAGTATGTAGCATTAAAATAAAGCTCTCAACATTTGTTTCCATCAAAGGTGTATTTGACATTGCAGTTGGCATGTTTGCATGAAATCGCAGAGCATGAAATCCAACAAACACCATGCTCAAGACATATGAAGTGCAAGCCAAGCATTTACAGCTAATTATTTGTTTAGAGAAACAATTGCATATTAAGTGAATAAAAAATATTTTATTGTGAGGCTTACTTGAACAACATGAGCCTAGATCTTTTGTTTTGGGGTTTGTTTTGGTTGTTTTTTTTTGTTGCTTATTTTGTTTTTCTGTAAGACACGTAATGGGAAAATATATAAATTTATATTTTTTTTATTCAAAATGCCAATTAGATTTAAATAAAATTTTGATAGATTACAGCATAATGTAATAGAACTTAACATTGTGTTTTAGGTGCCAAAAAAACTGCTGATGTCGTTGCCTTTCAAAATAAAACTGAAACCTTTTCTCCTTTTCTTAAGGAACTAATTTCTCTGTGTGCCATAAGCGGTCTCACTCCAAGCACTTCTTTTCATAAGCCGACATCCCTTTTCCTACATGTATCTTCTTGTGCCATATCAGGGTTGAATATGCAACCAAAATACAAGGGGAAAAAATAAGTCTAAAAAATGAAAAATGGACCTACAAGCATATCATGAATTTTTCAACCACTTTACATGATTCATGAGCCTTTCCTCTGGCATGAGTCCTCTGTGTATCATAGCTGCATCATCAGGAGCCTCATTTTATTATATTAGTCATTGATTTCATTGTATTTGGTGGAGCTGCAAAAGGTATCATGTAAAAATATTAGGATTATATTGCATCATATTAAAAGAGAAAAAGAAAGATAAGTTGATAATGAAGGATACGTTTATCAAACTTTGATTTCTAAGCTGGATTTTAACGAAACATGGTTGATATTTCAAAGCTTATCGATTTTGAAGTTGAATTTTTTTTGGTTGGATTTTTCACTTGTATTTTAATGTATGTATTGTAAAATCTGATACCCAGAGAGAAAAAGGAAAAAAATACAGTGAAACCTGAACTGATGTGAATTAATAAATTACTATTATTATTGATTTGTTAAACTTATTTGCAAAAGTTGGAATGGCCTTAATTTTGCTTTAACCTGCTTCTATTGTGTCTGGCACAAAGTGCACCTCGTTTTAATTTGCTAAATTTCAGATGCTAATTATGGTGCTTATATAAGCTGAGAGTGCACATCAAAGCAAGATGAAAAAGTTCAGCGAATTCTTTTTATTTTTTCATTAATCTGAGAAACTATATTTTGCATGAATATGAATAAAAATGGCAGATATTTTGGCTTGTACAAAAAAAACCGTGAAGCAATTTGAAGATGAAAAAAAAAAAAGAATGTACCGTTTCTGCTGTATCTGTATATATCTGAATATTTATAAAAAAGAAAATATGTCATACTACTAATTCTATTAACGATTAAAGGTTTTCTGGACAAAAATCTCTTTACCTGTTTTTGAACATTGTCAAGATTGTTGGAGTTGGATCTTCTGCTTTCTGTTACTCGACTCAAGGATCTGTGTAATCATTAAAGAAAAAGTAT